AAAACAATCTCTTCTGTCCATAATAATCTAGGTCTGGGTGATATGGCCAAAATATCATATCACAATATTTTTCTAATTTGACGGTATGAGACAACATTTTATAACACATTCATTCTTCCAGCAGCAGATTATGATTGATCATGTCAAAAGCTGCACTGAAGTCTAACAAAACAGCTCACACAATCTTTTGATTATCAATTTCTCTCAGCCAATCATCAGTCATTTTTGTAAGTGCCGTACATGTTGAATACCCTTCCCTATAAGCGTGCTGAAAATCTGTTGTTAATTTGTTTATTGTGAAATAGCATTGTATCTGGCCAAACACGATTTTTTCCCAAAAGTTTACTAAGGGTTGGTAACAGGCTGATTGGTCAGCTGTTTGAGCCAGTAACAGGTGCTTTGCTATTCTTGGGTAGTGGAAGGACTTTTGCTTCCCTCCAGGCCTGTGGGCACACACCTTTCTGTAGGCTTAGATTGAAGAGATGGCAAATAAGAGTGGCAATGTCGTCCGCTATTATCCTCAGTAATTTTCCATCCAAGTTGTCAGACCCAGGTGGCTTGTCATTTTCACCTCTCCCACACTCATTTTACGGAATTCAAAATTACAACGCTTGTCTTTCATAATTTGGTCAGTTATGCATGGATGTGTAGGTTCAGAACTTTGTTGTTGTCATGCCTAAATTTGCTAATGATGGAGCCGAGTTTGCCTTTTTGCCCAACATTTTATTTAAGGTGTTCCAAAGTTTTTAAAATATAATTCTTTATATCATTTATCTTTGTTTCACAGTACAGTTTCTTCTTTTTGTTCAGTTTAGTCACATTATGTTTGCCAATCGGCTGTGCAGCCAGACATATTTGCCATTCCTTTTGCCTCATCCCTCTCAACCATACAATTTTTCAATTCCTCATCAATCCACAGGGGTTTAACCGTTTTACAGTCATTTTCTTAATGGGTGCATGCTTATTAGTAACCTGAATAAGCAATATATTTGGCCAAGCCTTTGGAACTTTGGTTTTCCTAGATATCAATCAATCAATGAATCAAATTGTATTTATAAAGCCCTTTTTACATCAGCAGATGTCACAAAGTGCTATACAGAAAACCAGCCTAAAACCCCAAACAGCAAAGATATGGCTACTATGATCACTACATCCGATGGATTTGCATACTGCTTTAGAGCAGATTTCTGCAGCATTAGTAAAGATGTGATCAATACATGTGGATGATTTTATTCCTGTGCTGTTTTTAAATACCCTGGTAGGTTGCTACCACTGTATCATTAAAGGTATTATCCAAGTGAGTTTCAGAGATAGTCAGTATATGAATGTTATCTGTTACTAGCAAGTTATCGATTTCATGAGTCTTAGGCTACATATGTTAATGTTCTAGGATTCTTGATTGTTTTTATTGCTTTACTGGGATGCTAATCAGAAGTAGACATGACAGTGATATTTATGTTCGAGCTGATGCAGGGTGAGCTGCACACAGTGTACAGATTGTTATGAGTGTACTGATCTGTGTGATGCATGTGACATCCCAGTAACGTTGAGAAAAAACGTTATATTGGAGTTGAAATTCAAGACGATCTAGCATAGCATCTCACTCTCCATTGAATACAGGCGGTTGACATAAACACCCCTCATCGAATATTCCAAAAAGTATTCAAATGACAAGATGTATCCACCAATCCAAAGAGATGAATAGGCGGGAGCTTGACAGCCCCCCCGTTCCGCTCTGTGGACCACGAAATATCCCATTGTTAGGGCAGAGACACAAGCATCTCATCATTATATCCAGTATCTCTGCCCAGACACACCCCAACCAACAATCCCAAACACGTTTCATACAAAATGCTTTATTTAAATTCTTGCATAACTCTACAACTGAACTTGACATCTATACACATTCAGACAGAGCTAACCACAGTTAAAGTGCTCAATCTTTTATTTTCTTCTCGTCTAGGAAAGCTGTGATATGTACAGAGAGAGCAGAGACAGACTTAGAGCAAGCGGGAGTAGTTACAACATGTTGTCCCTCATCCCGAATACAGAGTAAGCTATTGTTCCAATCCCCTAACGTGGAGGTAGAAAACCCTGATCTTGGAATGCTGCAGGTTGAGTTGACATTTTTTGCTTCAGACCTAGGAGAAATGAAGGTGAAATATAGCCAATCAGATGTTGATCAATTAACTCAATTGGCGAGGTGATAAATAGAGATATGGTGCCTGGTTGGAACTAAACCCTGCAACACCTGATCACTCCAGGACCAGGGTTAAGGTTTGGATTGTGGGTAGGGTAAGGCCAAGAGCTTAGGAGCCTGAAGGTGAGAGAGTGAGGAGGCAACTGAAGCACAGTCAGTCAAACAAGCAGGCACAGAAGAAGGGTATTTGAGTGTTTGAATCCACACACAGAGCACTTCAGTCCACCTTTACACACATAAGCACCGTCACAATTTTTTCACTGTAAGCCTACATTTTTACATGGTACTGGAAACATGGGAACTGCATAATGTAATTTTTTATAATGCAATTTACAAAACCAATCCCTGATAGACATGCCAAAATATGTTACTTTGCTCAATAACACACTACAGACAGGCAGACGGACAGAAGCACATGTTGTATTTTGAGGCGCCCAGTGGACACGTCCTTGAGGAGCAATTCTGTGTGGTGAAGCACCATGGGTAAAGTATTAGGCATCAGGTGGAAAAACACCAAAGGAGAACTCAGGAGACAGTGTCCAGACACACACGCACACACATAGGCGCGCACAGACACACACACACACACACACACACGAGCAGCAGTGAAATGTAAAGACACAATAGCAGGAGCAGCAGTCTGGTGACTGGGGAGAGGCAGGCATGGTTGGAGGTACCTCTGGAATGATGAGGTAGGCTGGGTTAGAGGCAATGGTGGGTTTAGTGTACATTGTGGTGTGTGTGTGTGTGTGTCACAGGTCCGTGCACGTGTGTGTGGTGTTCACAGGTAAGGCTGGGGGTAGAGGTGAGGTAGGCTGAGAGATTTTTAAGGGGTTGTGAGAAAATTCCCTCATGGTGATGAGAACTCTAAGACCATGATGGGGAGCACTACTGCAGTTGTAAGTGTGTTAGTGAGAGACAGATACTGAAAGAGAGAAAGCAAGCAAGAGAAACACAGGATCAAAGCTCCATCTTTCCCTTATAATACATTTTTCTCCTCCTCCCCAGTGTATTCTCCTAGTAGTCCTTTATTCCAGTGTTGGGGCCCTCTGTTGTTTCACACAGCGCTCTCGTCAGTAGTAAAGACTTGATGTACACCCCCCCCTCCCCCCAAATCCCACCCCCTTAATAAGTCCTCCACATTCCTCTGCTAAGCTCTGGAGCAGCAGCAAACTGAACAGCATCCCTCCCTCCCTCTCTCCCCGTCCCTTTCGGTCATTCTTCCGTAGCTTTCTGAATGTCAAATTGACCACTAGAAACTATTCCCAAAGAACACCAGCAGCAATATGGTATAAATTCCACCAAGCCCACCGGAAGGCAAGGTGAAGGAATTACCATATAAATCAACAGGAGTGCCTAGGGGTTGATTTAAAAGCGACTCTTTCTCTCCTAGCTTCCTCCGCTTCCTCTCTTATACGCCTCTATACTTTCTCTCCACCAGGTGGGAGTATAGTGCTGTTTAATATACCGCACTACATGAACACACACATATGCAGAAGCACATTCTTGTAGCACATCTTTCCAGCAGTATTCACAGCCAATCTTCACAGTATAAAAAATATGAATAGTCTTGTTTCACAGCCACAGCACAAGAGCACCGTAACACAGACACTGACAGGTCATCTCCAAATCTCTTTGTGTGTATCAGAGTACACACACACAACCAGGGGTTGGAACCGGTTCAGGGAACAGAACCGAAAACCGTAAAAGAACGAAACATTTCGAGGAACAGAAACAGAACCGAGAACCAAAGGGATCAGAGCCGTTATTTTAAAAGCATGGGAACCGGTTAATAATGTTATTTTACGTTCCGGCAACAAAGCGCCTATGCAAAGCCCTCACTTTGTCACTCAGAAATGTATTCCTGTGTCTGCCTGCCTCCTCCGTCCGAAGCATGCATAGTCTACTGTAGCTACTGACAATACAAGCATGATTCAGACATTTTTATTAGAGAAGAATGGATTAACTTTTCAATGGTAGTTAAGGATACTATAGTTATCAGGTTTCACATTGGATTTATTAACTACAGAAAGGTAAGACGTGCTTTTATTTTAATTCTGGTGCCACTCTGCACACACAAGCTTGTTAGCTAGCTAGCTCTGGTCTAGCTCTTAAACTCTAGGTGGCATTATGTGGAACTGAGAGTCATGATCGAGGGCTAGCTCTGGTCCAACGTTAGTCAAGCCAACTCTCTGAAGTTCAAAGACATTCAAAGAAGTCGCACCTCCGTAGTAATGCATGTCATAACAACAGGATGCCCAACGCTTCATGCCCAGCACTCTTCTCACCCGCAAAATTTATGTCGCATCTCGCACCCTACACAACACTTGACTGTCCAATGCATGTACATAGCTTGCCCGCTCCATAGCAAACTGCTCTATCCATTGGTGAAGTAATTTAATGTCGAGCTAAATGTAAAAAAAACTATATTTCAGAAGTTTAAAAAAGGAACCGGTTCAAACCGGTTCATAACTTCATTTTGCTGGTCGGAACAGTGGAATGGAACGAAATAAATGATGGTTCTGTTCAGAACGAAACGATTGGAAAATAATTTTGGTTCCAACCCCTGTACACAACCCACTTCATCCATAGTGGGCTGGCTCTCTGTCTCTGTAACCAGTCCCTCTAAAGGGAGCCCAGTCCAATGCTAACTGCTTGACTGAGGGTTAGCAATTAGCATCTCCCTCTCACATCCCCTCCTCCTGAATGGGAGGAACCTATGTGTCTGTCAAAGGTGGAGAGCGGGACAACAACTGACAACTTCCTGTTCTGCGGTGATGACATAATTTCCTGATTCCGGTCAGGCGCTGGCTCCATCGTCGTCATCACTAGCGACGCGGCCGCCGCTCGTCCCGTGGGTGATAAGAGTGGGTGGGGCAACGGAAAGATCACGCTGGCTGCTGTGCCGTGATTGGGCGTCCAGTCGGTGGAGGCTGCTGTGAGTGGACAGCGGATGGTCGAGGCGAGGCATGCTGCTGTGGGGGGGTAGTGTGCGCTCCTCGCCGCCTCTGTAACTACAGGGGGTGTGGCTGGGGGTCGGGGAAAGAGAGGGGAAGGAGAGGTTAGTTCAGTAGCTCAGCACTTTATGTACTGCACCCACACCAACAGGTATGCCAGCTATGCTCTCTAATCTGATGAAGTCTTATACAGCCAGGAACTTTTATCTCAGTTATATAAACTGTTAATAACAGATAAGTAGCTGTCTACAGACGAGGATCTCTTGAGGTGCCATAACTAAAACAGGTTCTGGGAAGCCTGAATCCAGTTTTATCATGTAATAATTTTTGACTGTAAAAACTGCTCATATGTAGTGGCATCCGTAGCCAACCCTCTCTCCCTCCCTCCTTTCCACCTTGTCTCTCTCTCCTACCGTCCGTCTCGGGAGCGATGCAGGCTGCCATGGTAACTGGTCTTGCTGTGCACGCTGCCAGCCTTGCTGCGGGTGGAGGCGGCGTAGCCCAGAGAGTGGATTGGTCCGCGGTCGTCGGGGGCGTGTCTAGGGTCGTCAGGCTCGTCCAGGATGGCCAGGTGAGTGGAGGAGGCGTGGGTGGAGGTGCCCTGGGGGGGGGGGGGGGGGGGGAATTAGGAATTAAAAACAGGAACTAGTTAGGGTGATATTATATTACATTATATCATGAATTATGTTAGGACCATATGAGGTGACAAGGTCATGGTGCTAGTCTTACCTGGGTGGAGGTTCCCCGTGATTTCCTGATGATCGGGGTGTGGGGGTCTCTGAGTAGAGATTGGGCAAAGTCTGGCTCCTGGAGCACCTGTCTGCTCTCATTCACCCCACTACTGGAGGGGGGAGGGAGAGGAGGAGGGAGGAGTGCAGGGAGAGAGGAGGAGGTGGGTGAGAGAAAGGGAAGAGGGGGGAGGGTGGGAGGGGAGAGGCATGGGAGGACACGGAGTGAGTGGAGTGGGAGGGAGAGGGGCAAGGCAGAAGAGGAGGGATGGTAGAGAGTGGGGAGAGAAAGGGAGTGACACAAGGAGGATGGCAGGGAAAGAGGGAAGGCAGAGGGGTGGGAGAGACGCAGAGAAGAGATGGAGAGATGGAGGAAGGGGAGGGAGGAGAGAGGGATGGGGCGAGCAGAGGAGGAGGAGGAAGGGGTTAATGTTCTGTAATTGAGGGTGGGAGAACAGGTGCAGAAAATAACCTAATCACCATGGAGACCGGGTTATGGGAAGTGTGTATGTGTGTATGTGTGTGTGTGTGTGTGTGTGTGTGTTTGTGCTAGGATGGAATGATAAGGCTTTTAAGCCTAGGCAATTTAAACCAAATTACATTTTGACATTCACATTCACGTTGCTCAAATTGCTCATTTTAATATTGTTTAGCGAGTGGTTCTACATTACCAAGTAGCCAATTTACCGGCTTGAAATTAGAAATACGCACATTAAAAGGTAGACTCAGCGATTTGACGTAGGTGCAGAAAGTAAACAGCATACTGGGTCAAATTCCGCAACAACTAAGAGCGTTGAAGCGTGAGGCTAAACTTCGCTCATCGCAATATCTGCGGTGCTGCTCGTGGCAAAGTCATTTCACTGAGTCTACCTTTATAAACAGTGTGAAAACACACACACAAACACTACCGCTCTCTGCTTACTCTTTGCGTCTGCGTCCTTGTAGGAAGCTGGCCCATTCGAAGCAGGTCTTCTTGCTGCCCACCCAGAAGACTGAGGGAATCCCCACCACCAGCATCATCATGTACTTAATAAGGAACAGGGTCAGGTCTGGATGACTGGTCTGTTCAACCTAAATGGGGGGGGGGGGGGGGGGGGTGTGAGTGACACAAAATGTACTTAAACTGCATACCTTGCACTAATTATCCTACATACTATTTAGTTGAGTAAAAATGAATGCAGTAAGCAACAATTATCAACATACTAGGCTCATCCTACTGACAATGCGTCATCTAATGCGCAATTACTTTGATTCCTGCCATTGGTTCATTTTGGTACAGTACGTCCCCTCGGCTGATTCTCATCCTCAATACCTCTACTGGATGGAAAGCCAAAATGAGTATGACATCCTGGCATTTAAATACTACATTTTCAAAATTGCACATACTATAAAACTGTATTTTTTTGCATACCCAAAATGCCTACTATTTAGAACGCAAGTACAGGTATTCGGACACAGCCAGCGTGTGTGTGTGTGTATGTGATCAGAAACACTGGCAGATTAAAACAACTATTCAACCTAACGGAGAGAGCGAGTGTGTTCTCTTCCTCACCCTGCACAGCTCACTGCCCACAGACAATCCTCCCTTCTGCTCTACTCCACATGCCAACCCAGTGTGTGTGTGTGTGTGTGTGTGTAAGGGAGAGAGAGAGTCATAGACCTGTCATCTAAAACCACAACTCCCTCTTGTGGTGATAAATAGCATCACTGACCAAAATGTGCCACACACACAGACACACTCCCACACACACACAGACACACACACATGGAGGGACCTCCTGGGGAGCGATCAAATGATATGGAGCAAAATTGGAATTCCAGAGTGACTATGAGATACAGAGGTGGTCACTGCATGGAGGACATACACACACCCTCATACGTCAGAGAAACCTAAGCACTAGCACCTGCTCATACCCTATATTCCACACCAGCGCATTCACTCTCACTCAGAGCTCCCACATCACTGCTCATATTACTTTAATCAATTCAACTTCATACTATGTGTATGAGAGAGAGAGAGAGAGAGAGAGAGAGAGAGAGTGAGACAAAGATATGCTATTCCTCACAAAATGTAAAAAAATATAAAGCAATTAGAGAGTTTCATTGGCAATATGTATGCTTTGGCAATAGGTACATTGTTAAGTCATGCCAATAAAGCATTTGAAATTGAATTGAGAGAGAGAGAGACAGAAGTGGATGTCTGTGTACTATTGCAGCTGTAATGTCCATTCTTCACAACTTTTCTAATAACGTAACCTCTCTCTATTGCAGTGGCAGATACACATCCACTTTTAACTGACATATTGGCCGGGAAGATGAAAGGCTTTCACCAACTGGTAATCTGTGTGTGGTCGGTGTGTCAAATAGAGACAGTGAGTGAGCACAAATGTTATATTCGGTTATTAATTTAGTGCCCGATGACATAAAACAACCCTTTCCGAACCCCCTCCTACTCCCCCCTCTCCTCCTACAACCATTACAGAGGCATCACACAATACAGCCAGCTAAGCGTGACTGAACAAGCCCTCAGAGAGAGAAGGAGAGAGAAGTAAGCAATCGCTCCTCTTTTCCTTCCCCCAGCTCACTCTCAACTCAACAACGTACACACACACGTACACTGCAGATAGGGTGACCACATTTAAAATACCCAAATGTGGGACAACGGGATGATTTTGCGGGACAGTGTAGCCTACATGAATAAATACAAATTTGGCAGCACCCCCATACACAAACAAAAAGCAAGCACTGACCGAGCTAATTGAAGCGCAAAATATGTGGCTGTTTTATGAAAATCTGGGAAGGAAGGAAACATTTCTGGTTGGTCTCAGGGCATGTAAAACAGTTCGGAATACTTTCAGTCTAATACAGCTATTTACTTACTTTTGTAACTCTTCGTTAGAAGCCCGCTTTTTGTAAGTAGTTAACTGGCCTCTTCAAGTTGGAATTTAGCCAGAAAGGATTTGATAAATGTGATTGGTTGAAGATATTACATTGGCCTACGTCTCATCTTGCGCTGCGCAAGAATATGAGAGCTCATCAATGATTGGAGAAGTGTTTATGATCACCAGTACCACATACTTCTGATCTTGTCATAAGGGCAATGTAGAAAATACAATTTGAATATTAATTCTCATCAGTAACCACGTTTCCATGCGAATAAAGTCATACCGTATAAAATGAAATCACAACAGGTGTGATGGAATCAGGAAGTTTCGGTGCAATTGTATAAATGCAGACAGATAATGTGTAACTTAGGATGAACTTCACAGGGTGGTGAAAGTGCACGGTGATGAGCTTGATGCTCCTTTCCAATAAATATTGAGGGTCTTATTCTGGTGACTGCCGTTTGACAAATATTCTCGCTCTTCTCCATAATCTCATGTAGACTAGTTTACCTGGGAGCTGTTGGCTAGAGCGCACGTGCCAAGAGGAGGCTCATTTGCTGTTTAACGCAACAGTTTTTGTGACAAAACTATCGGTAGAGTAAAAAATGCAATGGAAACACATAAAAAAATAATATATATATATATATATATATATATATATTCGGTACATGAAAATGTAAGCGAAAAATTACATTTTGTGTGCACTACCTCATCACACACTGATTTTTATCTGCAACAAGTCTGTTTGGTGGAAACACACCACTGGTTTTTGTGGATTTTAGAATATTCGCATGAAAATTTGTCGCCAATTGGATGGAAACCTAGCTAGTCTGACTGAAATACGGGACAAATTGTTTTTTTTCTTCTAAATTAGTAATGTTTTAATTTGTTGATAAAATGCAGGACATGATTGTTTGGTTGCAGGACGCAGGACAAAGGGCCAAAATGTGTGACTGTCCCACACAATCCGGGACATGTGATCATCCTAACTGCAAGTACTTACTAATTAAGAGGAAGCCCAGAGTGGGTGGGAGTTAGAGGAGGAAACTTTATCCTGTGAAGTTGGGTTAGGCAGAGTAAAGTTACAGTGTGTGTTACAGAACTCAGGAAGCAGCGAGGGAATGGTAATAGGAGCTGTAAACTAGGAGAGAGAGAGAGTGTGAGTATGGGCACCTACCTCGTAGGGACAGGGTATGTGGTAGTCTCTGCAGCGCTCCTGGACCCAGGTGGTCTCCCAGAGAGCCCTGTAGCTGTGTTCGTACAGGTAGCAGGATATCACCGTGAGCAGGGGCACCAAGTAGAGCACAGAGAAAACCCCGATACGGATCATAAACTTCACCAGCTTGTCCTGGTTCTCCTTCTCCAGAGGGATCTCCATACGCACACGGTTCAGCGCCACAATGCCCACCAGTAACAGAGATACACCCACCTAGAGAAAGATAGACAGGGACTAGGTTAGATTAGAGCATGACTTATTGGTCGATGGGGCCATCTTCAGATATTCACATTGCATTTATTTATACTTTGTTAAGCCAGCTAAGGAGCTAGTTAATGGTGAACCAAATAATAAAACATAAAAAATAAAATAGAATGAACACTCACCGCCACGTTGAGGCAGAGCGGTGCCAGCAGGAACCAGCGCAGCGCCGTGATGTCGTAGAGGCCTACGAAGCACACGCCACTCACACCGTCGCCCTCAATCTTGTTGAGGGCTAGCAGGCCCACGGTGAGGCAGCCAGGCAGGCCCCAGGCGCAGGTGTGGAAGAGCAGGGCCTTCTTCTCGATGGCCTCACTGCCCCATTTGGGCACGGCGGCCAGGAACCAGGTGACGGTGAGGATGACCCACCACACACTGCCAGCCATGGTGAAGAAATACAGCACCATAAAGAACAGAGAACACACCTGGAGGAGAGAGAGAGAGAGAGGAGAGCGGAGAGGGGGAGGAGAGAGAGGTAAGAGAAGAGGTGGAGAAGAGAGAGGAGAGGGGGAGAGGAGAAGAGGGAGAGAGAAAAGAAGAGAGAGGGTAGAGGTGGGGAAGAGAGGAGAGAAAAGCGAGGGAGAAGAAACAGAGAGGAGAGAGAAAAGAGAGAAGAGAGAAGAGAGAGAAGAAAGGAGAGAAGGAAAAGAGAGAGGAGAGAGGGGGAGAAAAGAGAGGAGAGAAGGAAAAGAGAGAGGAGAGAGGGGGAGAAGAGAGAGGACAGAGGAGAGAAGGAAAAGAGAGAGGAGGGGGAAAGGGAGACGAGAACAGGGCTTAGAGAAGAAGACTGAAGAATGTTTTAAAGTTTATACATGTGTACCGGGAACATCATTACAGTAGTAGCATCAGAGAAAATAATCTATTAATTAGTCAATCAATCAATCACTAAGCAGATGGATGGGTCACCTACCTTGTTGTGTGAGCCCTGCGTGACGGTGGCTGCCCGGTACTGGGCGGGGTTCGCCGCATTGCACGCCACCCTGTCCTCCAATAGGAAGCCCAGAAAGAAGACTAGCGACACCATCATGTAGCACACGGCGTAGAAGATGATTGGCCGCTCGGGATAGCGGAACCTCGTGACGTCGATGAGGAACGTGAGGAAGGTGAAGAGCGTTGCCGAGAGACAGACGATAGACACCACGCCGATGAAGTAGCGGGCGAAGGTGAGCTCCGGGCGCTGGAAGTACATGTTGGGGCAGGGGGCTGAGCAGTCGCGTGTGCCCAGGAACGAGTAGCCCAGGTCGGGCTCCATCTTGAGCTCACGGGGGCACCAGAAGCCGTAGTCCCTCTGGACGGACATGGGAGAGATGTCTGTGGGGTCCACACTGGTCTGGAGGTCCACTGCACGGGGGTAGGGCTCGTCACAGTCTGGGAACCTGGGGCGGGAGCGAGGGAGGGAGGTAAAGAAAGAGAGAGATACAAGATTAACAAAATGTGGTTGGGTTTGTAAGTTATTAAGTGAGGTGTCCCAGGTCAATGAGGGTAGGTAGTTGCTAACCAGTATCCTAACACATGGTCTCTGGACATTCAGTTTTACTTTCCTTTTATATGATATGGTTGAGTGATCTTAGAGTAGGTAATGGTTATGGTAGGGTCAGGGTAAGCGGTTAATGGTCAATCAAGGCAGAGATCATCTTAGAGTTGGAGATCCTCTTAAGAGTTAATTCTTTGGTCGGCATCTGTTTTTTCACCACTCAACCCTCAATTGGAGGGTCACGAAGCGAAACGTTTATTGTAAGGTCAACCTAGGGACAGTCCCATGCAGTACCTGCTACACTCTATCTCGTCTGGCCAGGTCACTCCGAACATCTCCATGAGTTTGTGGCAGTCCCTCTTGGCGCGGTGGCACAGGGCTCGGCAGGGCATGGACACACGGCCATACTCCATACAGACCTGGAGCATAGAGGGCACACAGGAACATCCTCAGGTCCTCCGAACACTGCAGGTTCACCATGGGGTGGAAGGGCTGAGGGAGGAAGAGAGAGAAATACCGGGAGAGAGGTGGGAGGGGAGAAGGGAGGCAGAGAGAGAGAGACTGTTCACTAGATACACACAAACCCACAGGCACAACTCCAGTTTCCCACGCTACAGTTGAGGTCGAGGGAACCTGCTTGACGAGGCTCAGCTTACATGTAAATCTTTCACACACACACACGGCTAACCCCTACACAGGTGCCTCCCTCTGGTGAAAGACCTGTTTGGTTGTGGAAACACTTCTTATCTTTACTTATTATGAAAAGTCCCTAGAAACACAACTGTAGAGGTTCCTGTTCATTTCTAAATAGCCATCAAAGGAGAGAGAGATAGAGAAAGAATGAGAGAGAGAGAGAGAGAGAGAGAGAGAGAGAGAGAGAGAGAGAGAGAGAGAGAGAGAGAGAGAGAGAGAGAGAGAGAGAGAGAGAGAGAGAGAGAGAGAGAGAGAGCATTGTCATCAATATTTAGGCCAGGCTATGAAATATTCACAGAGAGCTGTCACATTAGAAGACAGTCAGGACACACACAGAGAAAATTCCCAGGTCTAAATCAGATGCTGGTTTGAAGAAGAAAAACCAGTAGACACTTGGGCTTCGAAAGATCGAGCTTATCCATTCCTGCTCTAGCAGCTAGCTAACTAGCTAGTTAGTAGCTACATCAGTGCGTTTGTCTTCATGCATTTTGCCTACAAGCCCAAGCAATCTGTTTAATGAGCCTTCGGTGAAAACACACACTGAATGCAAACACACAATCCCACTAATTGTCCTGTCTATCGCTTTAATGCTGTGAAAAGGGATTAGTGCTGTTCCTTAGGCATGTCAGGGCTCAAAGAAAAACGGAAAACACACACATATATATAGTCACCATCAGAGAAACAGAATCTGTGAGACCAAAGCAGACAGAGGTGGTTTTCTTATGTTTGACGAGTAGACAGGAGGAGATCAGTGTGAGGACTTTAGACTGTCTAAATGTCACCTCATAAGAGTTCATACATCGAACACACAGATACACACAGAGAGGGCCTGTCAAAACAACATCTGTGTGTCTGTCTGTGTGTGCAATTTGTATAATAAGAGTAGGCGTGTGTGTGTGTGTGTGTCAGGGTTTCCATTAGCTGGTAATAGCCGGATGTTGGCTGTTAAAACAAATAGAAAAGCCGATAAATAAAATTGGCACTGGCCAATTGTCTGGGGAGAAGGCAAATTATTGCGCAATAATTCTTAATGCAATCGTGTGTTAAAAATAGTTTTTGGACCACGATTAAAAAGAGCTCAAATTTGTATTTCTCAACTGGTAATTGAAACACGCTTCCCATTCGCCATTCAAATGCATAGGCAATGGAAGGCAGGCTTCATCAGCACAATTTGCAAAGGAGCTGGAGGCAGTATGCATTTTGAAAACAAATAGCTACTTAATTGTTTGAAACCCGAACATTTTACTACATATTATGAGGCATGTTTTACGTTGCTTCAAAGTAGCCTAGGCAAAGTCCGACCATATCCGTGGAGGCAATTATTTTATAACGACTTCCATATGCCATTGAAACCAGTAGCCTATTTCTCTCATGTTCTATTGGTTTTCAACTTGATTTCATTGTCTGGTAGCCAAATGAACATTCACGTGTAGCCTAATGCCTTGTTCACATTGCTGCGCTAATAATGTTAAGAAATAATCGTTTATCAACATTTTAAGCTAAACATTCTGATCTGTTGCATCAGATTAATTGCTTTTTAAACAATTTTATGTAGCTTAGGCCTACTGGTTGTATGAATTTGGGATCTATCGCCCCACAACTGTTCCAGAGTTTGTTTGGGCTATTTTCTCCTCGACAAGCTGACCAATAGAATATGTCAACTTCTCTACTATGGGGGATAGTAGACTGACATAGGCGGCGTATCCATAAGGCTAAGTAAATTGAATTAAATTGCGAGAATTATATAGCCTAACTAGCCTACTCCTGTATATACAGAAATAGAATCATTCAAAATAGCCTACTAAAGCATGATTTGACCACAGAGGATTATTAGCTTCCCCTAGCATTGCCTACAGTCTGAAGGAAAGGCAGCATGAGTGGCAAATACCAAATAAATGATTGTTGAGTTGAGACAGTCAGTGAAAAGTAGAGTAGCCCAGCCAGGCATATCGCAATATTTATCACGGGAAAAGATAGTTTGAAAAGAAAATGGCTATTGTTGTAAAGAGAAGACAATGAAAAGACTCTAATATGTATTTTAGTTATAGAAATACTCAACTTAATTGAGCGAACAACAGTCTTATTGGCACCAGATGAGAGCATCGGCCATATCCCCGGTGAGTGCTCACTGCACATATTCACTCTTGATCATCGTTGGGTCAGTGTCACTTAAGTGTTTTTGGACAATAATTTCCTCCTCCAGTTTAGATGAACGTCATATTCTACTTGTGTCTACCCTTCTCGTAGGCCTATTATATGGACAACGTCGTTTTTATTGATCTGTTTGTAAGTGTCAGCAGAGTAGGCTACCCTGTAATTTGTCGTATTAAAAAATATTCTGCTAATGTCTCCAGTCATATAAAGTGTAGTACAAATGCATGAAATGTGTTTTTCCCTGAAACGTATCTGATATAGCCTATAGTACAGGCGTCTACGCTATAGGCGCTCAGCCATGCATTGAACAGTCTTTTTTGCGAACAGTGATTGAGTTATATTATTTGCCTAAATTATGACCATCCAATCTACTCATCACATTATGAATAGTAGGCTATCTTACATAAGTCTGCAAATGCGATGAAGCATTGTGTACATGTGTACAGTGGGGAAAAAAGTATTTAGTCAGCCACCAATTGTGCAAGTTCTCCCACTTAAAAAGATGAGAGAGGCCTGTAATTTTCATCATAGGTACACGTCAACTATGACAGACAAAATGAGGAAAAAAATTCCAGAAAATCACATTGTAGGATTTTTAATGAATTTATTTGCAAATTATGGTGGAAAATAAGTATTTGGTCAATAACAAAAGTTTCTCAATACTTTGTTATATACCCTTTGTTGGCAATGACACAGCTCAAACGTTTCCTGTAAGTCTTCACAAGGTTTTCACACACTGTTGCTGGTATTTTGGCCCATTCCTCCATGCAGATCTCCTCTAGAGCAGTGATGTTTTGGGGCTGTCGCTGGGCAACACAGACTTTCAACTCCCTCCAAAGATTTTCTATGGGGTTGAGATCTGGAGACTGGCTAGGCCACTCCAGGACCTTGCAATGCTTCTTAAGAAGCCACTCCTTCGTTGCCCGGGCGTTGTGTTTGGGATCATTGTCATGCTGAAAGACCCAGCCACGTTTCATCTTCAATGCCCTTGCTGTTGGAAGGAGGTTTACACTCAAAATCTCACGATACATGGCCCCATTCATTCTTTCCTTTACACGGATCAGTCGTCCTGGTCCCTTTGCAGAAAAACAGCCCCAAAGCATGATGTTTCCACCCCCATGCTTCACAGTAGGTATGGTGTTCTTTGGATGCAACTCAGCATTCTTTGTCCTCCAAACACGACGAGTTGAATTTTTACCAAAAAGTTCTATTTTGGTTTCATCTGACCATATGACATTCTCCCAATCCTCTTCTGGATCATCCAAATGCACTCTAGCAAACTTCAGACGGGCCTGGACATGTACTGGCTTAAACAGGGGGACACGTCTGGCACTGCAGGATTTGAGTCCCTGGTGGCGTAGTGTGTTACTGATGGTAGGCTTTGTTACTTTGGTCCCAGCTCTCTGCAGGTCATTCACTAGGTCCCCCCATGTGGTTCTGGGATTTTTGCTCACCGTTCTTGTGATCATTTTGACCCCACGGGGTGAGATCTTGCGTGGAGCCCCAGATCGAGGGAGATTATCAGTGGTCTTGTATGTCTTCCATTTCCTAATAATTGCTCCCACAGTTGATTTCTTCAAACCAAGCTGCTTACCTATTGCAGATTCAGTCTTCCCAGCCTGGTGCAGGTCTACAATTTTGTTTCTGGTGTTCTTTGACAGCTCTTTGGTCTTGGCCATAGTGGAGTTTGGAGTGTGACTGTTTGAGGTTGTGGACAGGTGTCTTTTATACTGATAACAAGTTCAAACAGGTGCCATTAATACAGGTAACGAGTGGAGGACAGAGGAGCCTCTTAAAGAAGAAGTGACAGGTCTGTGAGAGCCAGAAATCTTGCTTGTTTGTAGGTGACCAAATACTTATTTTCCACCATAATTTGCAAATAAATTCATTAAAAATCCTACAATGTGATTTTCTGGATTTTTTTTCCTCAATTTGTCTGTCATAGTTGACGTTTACCTATGATGAAAATTACAGGCCTCTCTCATCCTTTTAAGTGGGAGAACTTGCACAATTGGTGGCTGACTAAATACTTTTTTCCCCCACTGTATATGCGTGTGCGCAGACCTGAGGGTAAACAGTGACTTGCCGGAGAAGAGAGAAAGTGAGTGAAAGAGAGAGAAATCTCAATAACAGAGTGAAAGAACACAGGGAAGCATAAGAACACTCAGTCCCTCTCCTCCTCCCTATCTTCCTGTTGCTCTTTCTCTCTATCGTCCATATATAGACTATGCACTCAGTGACCTCGAAGGAGGAGCGTCAAGCGTTGTTAGTTGTGTTTGCTAAAACTATCTACTGCAAAAAATATAGGATAACATTATAACATCAATTACACTTTATAAAGTAAAGATTTGTGATTTTGTAACAAACAGAAATATTTGGTTAAAACAGAGCACACCAATCCCTGTCCATTGTAACTGTGTTGCCTAAAGGAGGCCAGTTGTTCAGGATAGTGGGTTGTGAGGCGATGAGTATCGCTCAGGCATTATGTGATGGTAATGAATCGAGAGAAATGCAGAGGAATAAAACTGCACTTTGAGCACATCTCACCCGTGTGTGTGTGTGTGTGTGTGTGTGTGTGTGTGTGTGTGCGTGTTGTCCTCCCTGCCCTGTTTGGAGTCTGTTTTGATCGTTTTCAACTGTTCGGCGGAAAAAATGTCCCACCCGCAAATGGATGCAGCGACACGCATGAGTTCCCAGACATGTTTTTTAAGACAGTAACAGCACACACCATCACTGACTGAACCACACACAAACACACACAGAGACAGTCAATATTTCATATGGTGAGCTTGTTAATGCGTAAATGCCAGTGTGTGTGTGTGTGTGGTAGAGCGTGTGAGCATGGGTTTACGGCCGAACCTCACAGCTGAGCATGTTGGCACCACAAACAGACACCACTAGATGGTGAGTGTGTGTATAAGCATGTGTGTGTGTCAGAGAGTTCAGCTGGCCTTATCCTGCTCTACCTATCAGAGCAGCTGAATGAGAGCGCCTCACTTTGAGAGGCCTTCTCTGTGATATACCATGCACACACACAAATGCATCCATGCACACACACTCTCTCCATTCCTATTGAGTGCCATGGCCTAACAGGAGCCTGGGGGCACACTGAACGCAGCAGTATCCAGCACAGCTCTCTTTCTGCACGACTGTGTTACATGGGCCAGCTGAGTGGCCCATTTCTGCATGAGTGTGTTCTCATGCTGTGTGTGTGTGTGTGTGTGTGACCAGTTTCTCTCTCTACCACTTTGTGTGTGGTGGTCTCTCTTTCTACCCCTGTGAGTGTGTGCTTGCGTGGTGGCTGGCCCTCTTTCCCCTCTTTTCCTCCATCTGAGTCTAATGGGGTCTGAAAGGCTGACTGGCTGTGAGAAACATCACAGTCCATTTCCCTCCACCCAGAGAATATTGCTATTAAGTGGTTTGATTGTGCCGTCAAAGGAGGGGATAAGAATGGCGATCAAATCTCTATTAATGTCGAGTTGGTTTTATTTGTGTGGCACTTTTTTGTTCTGCTATTACGGTCAAAGAGCACTTCAGACAAGACAAAAGCCAAGGCCCCTAAAACAAGCCTGGGGTGATTGCACAACCCTTTGGTTTAGGGATGATGGGGAACACTTTAGAGCAGGGGTGGCCATCCCTGACCCCGGTCCAGGAGAGAGCTACAGGGTGTGCAGGCTTTTGTTCCAGCCCAGCTCTAAAAAGGGGATTATGATGAGTTGAGTATTCTCAAACCGGTTTACCCCCAAAATGATAAAACCCTTTATTTGAAGAGTTTTGGATCATCTTTATTGTTACATGGACATGACATATACAGAAGACACAAGATAGAGAATCTAACATGAAATATGTCTAAATATGTGTAAGTTCCAAACAGAGAAATATAGCTCCCTCTCCCTCTCTCTGTTAAATTTTTTCACCTGTCTTACAGCTTCCCTTCTTATAAACCTTCAGTCATCTGCTCTCTTTCCTTCTCTCCTCCCTTTCTTTCCAGCTCTCCCTCCTCCCCAGGTAGTTGTAAAGACGTCCGCATGCTTCCCATCCAAAACAGAAGAGTTTGTGCATATATTATGACAAAAAAAATTGACGTTTTTGTTCGTTTTGGACTTCGGTAAGGTTTCTTTTGGCTGTTCGGGCATACATTTTTCTGGAGGCAAGCTGAAATTTGGAGCCAAAGTCTACGCCCCTTCGTCTGTGATTGGTCAACAGTAGGGATTCTTCAACTAAGTCTTTGTTGTCATTCAACAAGAGACGACTCGTTTTCATGCAAAACATTTTTGGGAGAAATACTGCACCAAACATCTTTGATGTAAATTGCGCAACTAAAATCTCCTTGGCAAAAACGTCAAAATGAATGACAGATTAGTTATTTTATTGTGAACAAAAATATAAATGCAACATGTAACGTGTTGGTCCCATGTTTCATGAGCTGAAATAAAAGATCCAGCCATTGAAGAGGAGTGGGACAACATTCCACAATCAACATAGTGATCAACTCTATGCAAAGGAGATGTGTCGCGCAGCTGTGGCAAATGGTGGTCACACCAGATACTGACTGGTTTTCTGTTCCACGCCCCTACTTTGTTTTTTTGCAGATACAGTGGGGGAAAAAAGTATTTAGTCAGCCACCAATTGTGCAAGTTCTCCCACTTAAAAAGATGAGAGAGGCCTGTAATTTTCATCATAGGTACACGTCAACTATGACAGACAAAATTAGGAAAAAAAATCCAGAAAATCACATTGTAGGATTTTTAATGAATGTATTTGCAAATTATGGTGGAAAATAAGTATTTGGTCAATAACAAAAGTTTCTCAATACTTTGTTATATACCCTTTGTTGGCAATGACACAGGTCAAACGTTTTCTGTAAGTCTTCACAAGGTTTTCACACACTGTTGCTGGTATTTTGGCCCATTCCTCCATGCAGATCTCCTCTAGAGCAGTGATGTTTTGGGGCTGCCGCTGGGCAACACAGACTTTCAACTCCCTCCAAAGATTTTCTATGGGGTTGAGATCTGGAGACTGGCTAGGCCACTCCAGGACCTTGAAATGCTTCTTACGAAGCCACTCCTTCGTTGCCCGGGCGGTGTGTTTGGGATCATTGTTATGCTGAAAGACCCAGCCACGTTTCATCTTCAATGCCCTTGCTGATGGAAGGAGGTTTTCACTCAAAATCTCACGATACATGGCCCCATTCATTCTTTCCTTTACACGGATCAGTCGTCCTGGTCCCTTTGCAGAAAAACAGCCCCAAAGCATGATGTTTCCACCCCCATGCTTCACAGTAGGTATGGTGTTCTTTGGATGCAACGCAGCATTCTTTGTCCTCCAAACACGACGAGTTGAGTTTTTACCAAAAAGTTCTCTTTTGGTTTCATCTGACCATATGACATTCTCCCAATCCTCTTCTGGATCATCCAAATGCACTCTAGCAAACTTCAGACAGGCCTGGACATGTACTGGCTTAAGCAGGGGGACACGTCTGGCACTGCAGGATTTGAGTCCCTGGCGGCGTAGTGTGTTACTGATGGTAGGCTTTGTTACTTTGGTCCCAGCTCTCTGCAGGTCATTCACTAGGTCCCCCCGTGTGGTTCTGGGATTTTTGCTAACCTTTCTTGTGATCATTTTGACCCCACGGGGTGAGATCTTGCGTGGAGCCCCAGATCGAGGGAGATTATCAGTGGTCTTGTATGTCTTCCATTTCCTAATAATTGCTCCCACAGTTGATTTCTTCAAACCAAGCTGCTTACCTATTGCAGATTCAGTCTTCACAGCCTGGTGCAGGTCTACAATTTTGTTTCTGGTGTCCTTTGACAGCTCTTTGGTCTTGGCCATAGTGGAGTTTGGAGTGTGACTGTTTGAGGTTGTTGACAGGTGTCTTTTATACTGATAACAAGTTCAAACAGGTGCCATTAATACAGGTAACGAGTGGAGGACAGTGGAGCCTCTTAAAGAAGTTGTTACAGGTCTGTGAGAGCCAGAAATCTTCCTTGTTTGTAGGTGACCAAATACTTATTTTCCACCATAATTTGCAAATAAATTCATTTAAAATCCTACAATGTGATTTTCTGGATATTTTTTCCTCAATTTGTCTGACATAGTTGACGTGTACCTATGATGAAAATTACAGGCCTCTCATCTTTTTAAGTGGGAGAACTTGCACAATTGGTGGCTGACTAAATACTTTTTTCCCCCACTGTACATATCTGTATTCCAAGTCCTGTGAAATCCATAGATTGGGCCTAATGAATTTATTTCATTTGATTGATTTCCTTACATGAACTGTAACTCAGTAAAATCTTTGAAATTGTTGCATGTTGCGTTCATATTTTTGTTCAGTATAGATTCATTCGGACTATTTTGAAGAAGTGCATACTGGCTACGGCGTCTCAAAATGGACAAACGGTACAACTGCTGCTTTTTACTCTATTTTCAAGCGAAGGTCTTTTAAAGGGAGTATGCGAGCACACTAGTTTGGTTCGACTAGCCGTGTTCGGCTAGGCGCCAGCCGAACTGAAGCATGCTGACACCTTAAGAAGTAGGGTGGGGCTTCTGGCCACAGATACAGAGCAAAACAAGCTGCACAGGTGGGTCTCAGGGAGCAGTGTGTGTATGTGCGTGCACGCATTGAAGATTAGGGTGACGGTAGGAAAGCCAGTTTGCCAACTCTGCAGCAACTCTGTATAATGTCTCCGGCTTAAAGAAGAGTGAAGGAGCGAAAAAGAAAAGAAAGGCAGTTACCCTGTGGATTAGAGAGTCAAGGGGATTGGATTGTTTAGAATGTGAGAACCTGCCTCCTCTGTCCGACCGAGCACTGTCCCTGCCAGAGAGACCAACACACACACACGGCAGCTCACTTCCTAAAGCTGTCATTAGCAGTGTGATTATCCCTTTGTACTATGGCCCAGTGGTCAGGTCAGGTGACTAGTCTTACTGTGCCCTAATGCCACTCCGGTGATGGTGACAGCTCACACTTCACATCCTAACTGAGCGTTAACATACAGACCGCAATCACATGGTGCTGAGGCTCACACAGAGGCACACGCGAACACACACACAGCACACACCCACACATGGTTTAAGACCACGGTCTGAGTTACAGCTGAGACCACCCGCTCTGACAGAGAGAGCTTATTGGAGTTAGATACTAATGGGCCACATTACTGCTACATTAAAAGGCACAGTACGTAGCAGGTTTGATTTACGTTTAGAGAATGTCCTCTGACACTACTGGAGGACTGAAGAGGAGTTTACCTGCCTGTAAAACCAAAGAAGAAGAGAAATGGGTTCAATTAGTGGTGTCTAAAAAGCTTTATTTTTAAAGTGTTTTGTTTTTGGGTCAGCTGTGTTTGTGGTTTCTCTTGTTGCCACAGGGGACAGAGAACTTGTGGACTGCTTCTTTAAGGCCAATACACCTTTTAAAAAGAAAGCCACACTCTTACTCAGACATTGTGTGTGTGTTTATATAAACCTCTATTCCAGCCTGCAGCCCAAACACTGTCAAACACAGTCAACCCTTTCTCCATCACCCATTCTCTACCGCCTTTCTCTCTCTCCATCCATCACATAACATCCCTTTGCATCCCCTTCTCCATTAACGATTTCATCTCTCCATCTCTCCTCTTTCTCTTCATCACCCGTACCCTACAGCTGCATCTCTCGGTCACTCATTTCTTCTCTCTATCACCCACACCCTTCCGCACTGTTTCCTTCTCCCTCCCTCACTCCCATTCCATCAACCATTTCCATTTTCCAATCATTCTCTCTCTCGTTCCGTAACCTTATTGTCCATGGGCCGTCCCTCTCCCTCCTCTCTCACGCGTTCCAGAGAAAGAGCGCGCTGGCCATGAATAGAGCAGGAGGACAAACACTGTTCTCTCCTTAATCTGCACTCCTCTCTCCTGAAAAGAGAGGGAATAAAAGACAGCCCTCTCCCACACTCCGTCTCTCCAAGTCATTCATTCATTTGATTTATACATTCATCCCTCATTCATCCAGTCCAGATCAGACAAGAGCTGTTCCTGGCATTCCAGCACATGACCACTTCCCCTCCTCCCTCATTTGCCTCTCTTCTACTCATCTCTTCCTGGCATTCCCATACATCCATTTTCTACCCTTCCTCTCCATCCCTCCACTCCACACCCCTCCATTCTCTCCTCTTCATCTCTATCCCTCTTATCACATCTCTTCTCACTCCCTCCCCCTCTCCTCTCTTCCTGGCATTCATCACTTTGCAGTTCCTCCCTGGGTACCATGGTAACGAGGAGAAACAGGCCAATCTGACAATGAGGCTTCTGATGGTCCTCATCCTGTTGGAGGTTATAGGGCACGTATGCGCGCACAAACACACACTGAGCATTTATGCACACACTGCTGTGGAGAGGCAAT